GGAGGGAGAGAAGAAAAAGAACAGATTGAGGAGTTGATGGTCGTGTGCTCCGCGTGCTGCAGAGTCATCCCTGCGTTGGCAGAGTGGGTGGGAGACGCTGCTCCTGTGGGACCCGTGGTGCCCGACCCCCGGCGACTGCAGGTCTGGCCTGAGCCTCGCCCCAGGCTGGGGGGAGCAGGGGGGCTGCACACCCAAATCCTCCGAGGAATAAAGACGTGACAATTTCAGTTGGCGGAGGGGGGCCTTTTTTAGAAAATGAGACTCCTCGTTACAGCGAAAAAAACCCCACAGCAACACCAAACCGGGAAACGCAACCCCCCGAATCTCTGAATGCAGAAATCATCTGAATAAAAAAACCCAACCCACCCCAAACTGTGAACAGCCCTCAACCTCGGCTTCAAAAAATGGCCACTGAATGTGAGCAGCAGCCGAGCCTGGAAATTCTGGAGCTTGACTCACCATCTCTGTGTGCCCGCGGCCAGTCCGGGCTCATTGAAATGCCTTTGCAAAGGATCCCCACCCGAGGGCACACAGAGCCTCTGGGAAGGGCAGAGCTGCTGGAGGAAACCTCGGTTCTCTGAGGAGCTCGTCCTCCTGTGTTTTATCATAGAATCACAGAATAGTTTGGGTGGGAAGGGACTTTAAAACTCATTCCCTGCCTGCCCTGGGCAGGGCCACCTCCCACCAGCCCAGGTTGCTCCAAGCCCCCTCCAACCTGCCCTTGAACCCCTCCAGGGATGGGGCAGCCACAGCTTCTCGGGACAGCCTGGGCCAGGCTCTCACCACCCTCACACCAAAGAACTTCTGCCCCACATAGCAGCTCAATCTTCTTTCTTTTACTTTAAAACCCTTCCCCCTCGTCCCATCGCTCCCTTCCCTGATCCAGAGTCCCCCCCCAGCTTTCCTGGAGCCCCTTGAGGGACTGGAAGGGGCTCCAAGGTCTCCCTGGAGCCTTCTCTTCTCCAGGCTGAACCCCCCCCAACTCTCTCAGCCTGTCCTCACAGAGGCCCTCCCAGCATCTCTGGGGCCTCCTCTGGCCCCGCTCCAACAGCTCCATCTCTCTCCTGTGCTGAGGACTTCAGAGCTGGACACCATTCATGCACAAGTGCAGGCTGATGGCCACTTAAAATGCCCCCAGAGCCCATGCCCATCCCTCCTGGCTCCCCTCCACACCCAGCCCCCTGGCAGAAGGGGGGTGGAGGACTCCCAGTCTGATGGTCCTAGATGTGACCATCCCTTGATGGTTGCCCCAAGCCACCAGCAGCCTCCGAGCTGTAGGAACAACGTGTGGTGCAGGTACCCCTCCCTCCTCTCGTTGGCACCCAGCGCTGCCGCCTCGATGCTCGGGAGCTCTTTGCCAGATGGTAAATGACACACAACTATTTACACGCACGTGGCAGAGCAGCAGACAGGAACAATCTGTTCCCTGCCGGTAGTTTTTGAACTCACACGATTAGGAGGGGTTTTGCCTGGGAAAGGGAGGATCCGCCAGGACTGGAGGCTGTGCCTGGTTTGGGATTGGGGAAGGGAACGTCTCCATCTTCCTGGAAGATTGGTCGGCGGGGGGGAACATGACTCAGGCCTTGACTGGAGGGGCAGCTCTGCCATTAAAAAAAACATGTATTAGAATAGAGGTGAGGGGAGTCCCACAGGAAACGGGGAGCCCATGGAGGAATGGGGAACCCATGGAGGAATGGGGAGCCCCATGGGGGAAGGGAAGCA